TCATGTTATCGGTGCACCATCACTGATTGGGACACTTCACATCACACTACATACGGAACTTTTGGCGGTGCTTTTCTGCCGTGCGGAGTTCTGTCGCTGAAAACCAGAAAGAAGGAGTGTTATGAGAAACAATAACAATCAGGAGGGCAGAAGGGTACGTACGAGCGAGGAAAGCGTTCTTAGATGTGTTGGTGGGTAGAAGCAACGCGTAACCACTCCAAGAGCGGAGACATCCACAATGTAAAAACTCCAAGAACAGAAAAACACAGAAGTACACTTGAAAACGGAGACATGCAATGCGTGACGACCAAAAAGGGCTTATAGAAACGTCGCGTGACAGGTGTAAGATTGGTAAAGACTAACCTTTTCTTTAGCTTGCTGTCTCAATTGCTCCTATAACAATAAGAGTAAATACAGTCACTACATGTATGTCAAAATGCCACTACTGACTACTGTCACCTTCTTCCTTTACTTTCCAACACATCAGGGGGAAGGGGAGGGAAAGCGAACCTACCTGCTGCATACGAGCCAATTGCTCTTGTAGTGATAAAACCACGTTGAAGTTGTCTTGCAGTTTATCACATTGCTAGAAGAAAAACAAATTAACCTTAAGGTAATGTGTGACTGATATTTTCAGTAATATATATTTCTTTTCTGAGCAGGCTTCCGAGAGGTTGAAACAATCCAAGGTTTGCTGCGACTTTTCCAATGCATTTACCCCCTTGTATCATTGCTTTTTTTTCTTTTTTCCATTAAGGATAACAGTTTTACGAGTCTATCAGTTACCAGTAGGTTACTAACTTTATCCATTAGGTCCCCAAACCCAACCTTATGAATTTCCCTTGTTGAGTGTTCTGGATTCTTTTGTTTCATTGTCAGTTCTTGGAATTTAGTGCCACATCAAGGCAGTATCCCTTAAGCCACCATTTTCACTATCCTCATGACTTATCTCAATGTCAATGTAACTTTATCACCACGGAGAAATTCGATTGTCACCAAGTAGAATTCATTTACAGCAAAATCCAAACACTACCCTTCTACGCAAACATTATTTTGCTTGTGTAAGGAGTGGAAGTCCAAAAGTACAGCATCGAATAAGCAAACTATTATACAAAGCAAGTTTGAAAGATTCGTTCAGTCTCCCCAGCCTTGACTGATTCGTTTCCAATGTCAAATTTCAATTGTGTTATTCTTGAAATCCAGTGAACAATGCCAGAATTGTTACAAAATCTATCTCGCTCACCTTGGATAATTCCATTTTTAAAGTAAGAACTTCGTGGGATAATTTCTCCTCTCTTTCCTGAAATCCAACAAAATTACTTTTCTCAGTCGTTGTTATGACCCGCCTAGATTAGCTCAGCTATCCGCGGGCATGTTACAATTGTAATTTTAATTTGATAACAAATAAAATGTATGTATGTATGTAGGTATGTATGTATGTATGCTATAAATGTTTTCGCGATAAATAGCGCGAGACATTTCCTTGTGAAACAAAGTAACTTTCGTGACCCTAAATCCAAGAAACATTCCAGAGAGACAGAGACAGACTAGGTACTAACCTTAGCCTCCTTTTCACGCTCGCCCAAGGCTTTCTCCGCCAGTTCTAGTTCCTCTTGGTGTAGCTGCTGTAGCCGTCGCTCGTTCTAAACCAGAAAACAAAATGCACTGTCTATAGAGAATCGTATGAATGCCAATTCAAAAAGGATTCACAGCACGAGTGATATTTAGATATTCCCTCAAAATTTGAAAGAATTTTCAAATATCGCTAGTGATGCAAATCCTCAATTGTTCGAGCTTTCATAAGATTACTCGTTCTTATGTGACTGACAGAATTACAAACGCGCGTATATTAATTTGTATAAAGAGCACATTAAAAATTAATAACGAATTTCCCTGTTCTCAGCCAAACGCAATGAAGTAATTTTCTCAGTCATATAATACTAACACCTTTAAAAACGCTTTTAACTTACATGAAAATGACACGCAAGTTCTACTGCACTATTTTAGAGTATTACATGGAGAACAAGAAGATTAAGAAGGCAATTCCTCTTGGCTGTAATTTTCTCTAGGCTCACAACCTGGAAGCTAATGTTTCTTTTATGTCGAATTTAAGAAAAATCTGACAGTTGTAACTTTTAAGTCTGATTAATAATGGCAATTTAGATTTTACACGGGCTATAGTCCATAGTTACCTCCTCCTTTTCATTCTTAAGTCTTTCAATTTCTTCTTGCAAAGTTCTTTGTCTTTCAGCAGATTCACGGCGTAATTCTTCTAAGACAACCTGCTCAGATCAAACAAGGGGAATAATTCAAAGGGAATTTTCCCACAATAAAATTAAGTAAAATTACAGTTAAAGTCAAAACAGGAAATAATACGTCGCAGAAGAAGAGTAATTCGTGTGATTTTTAGCAAGAAAAACTCGACCAATATTCGCGCGAAAACGCCTCTCACTCAACAACCGCCTTCAGGGCAATTTACGACCGATAAAAATTCGACGGCTTTTCGACAAATTTATGAGGTATGAACGAGAAACATTAAATGTAAGATAATTAAGACGTCAATTAAGATAGAAACATCATATCGACGAGATATGTTTGACATATTATGGCTCAGTGAAATAAATTCGGCATTTCCGCCTTAAAAACATCACATTTAATTTAGGAATGGTATACAAGTAATTGCTCAATTTGTGGCATATGCATCGGAGAAATGTCAGTCATGTTAGGCCTCGACAAATATTTTACCTCGACCAAACACGCCTGATTTTTCGCCAAAGGGTACAAAAATTTCTTCATTACGTGTAAACATTACTCATATAAAGGACAAGCGTATTGGGTGAATGATCTCCAGTGTACGCTCAGAAAGCCAGTCGTGTGTAGGCGGGAGCCATTCGACAGGACAGCGCCATAGCTATAGTAACAGGCAAACCCAGGCACTGGCCTCAGCCACTTCTTTTTTTAATTTTTTGTTGGTTTTTTATTTGAAGGGGGGAAAGTAAAGAACTGCTAGAAAATAAATAAAAACAAACAAACAAACAAAAAAATAACACTACCTCAGTCATAATTTTTAACTCGCTACAGCTCCGCTGGAGTGCCATGCACAAGTAGCAATAAACTACAACTTAAACGGAATCGAAATTCTCAATTGAAGAAAATGACTCTTTCGGTCATCAATTATACTCGCGCCAACGATAAAGAAGCGAAAAAGGCTCTTTATTTTTATTAATGACTCGGGCTTGAAAGACAAACTGATAAGCATTTACACGGAGACACACGTGTGAATGAGTTCATGGATTATTTGGCACATCGTTAGTTATGAGAGTAATATAATTTTAGGAAAAAAATATGAAATAAGGATGCACACAATGTCTTAATTCGCCAAGAATTAACCAACAACGCCGCGAAGACGTCACTAAAAAGAACATACTACATTAAGGCTTCTTCGCAGTTTTGTTTCTTTAGAGTAAAAAATGCGACATTTAAAATGCGCACATTCTCAAAAGCGACAATTCAAATTATATGAAAATCAGCCCTCTGTGAAAAATTTTCATTTTGTAAGAAAAGATCAATTTTTAACTCAAAGAGAAGGAAGATTAATTATACATACCTGTTCGCGCCGAGTGTGAGTCGAACGAGAATCACTTGCTGCCATTTTCTTGTCGTCGATTGAACGACCAGCTCTATTAGCGAGACGAAAAAGAAGAACACTTAGCATAGCAATAAGCTGAAGATGGAAAAAACATAAAAAATAGCCTAAATATAAAATTATGCTAATGTCAAAACAACCTTCAACTCGCCATTAAGAAGGCACTTTCTGGCGTCGATCCATTAGTAGGAAGTACCACATCATGGTGTCGTGTTCTCGCTGAATCAATTCAAATTGATCTTTTTGCGTTTCAGCATTGCGAGCTGTTTTTCTTCCAATTATTTCTCTACCGGTGAATAAATTGAAATCGATATTATATCATGCCTGCTTTTATCTTTTTCTTTTGCGATGAATAAATTCACATCAATGTCTTATACAATATGATCATCTTGTCTTTTGTGATTCATAAATAAGCTTAACCTGACATGAGTGAATACAAATGAAAATAGTTCGCCGGTTGCTTCGCAACAAAAGTACTTTGAAAGCTAATCAAACACTGCCGGTACATGTACAATTGTAGAAATGCAAACTCGACGAAAGACAAAAAAATATATCACACACAACTATGACTTCAAACGCTGGTAACAGTACTTGAAAATACTTTCCATTAAGAGAAGACCAAGGGATCGAACATATGTCAATTTGATGGATCAAAATAACAGCAGAGACAGAGTCTTATTGCAAATTAAAGTATCCTCATTCGAGGCCGAAACGATAACAAATACAACCATAACGTAACTCGTATTGTTTTCCTTTCGTTTCATTAAAGTAACATTTTGAAACAATTGGAGAATGTTCCTAGTTTAATTGACTCTATTATTCCAAATGAAGAATACAGTTGAAGATTCAAATTTCGGTAAAACTTTAAGACAAAACACGCACGTTACACTCGGAAACCGAATAACTTTTGAACACGAAAATAGAAAACAGGAATTTATTTTAGTCATTGTTACTGACGTTAAAAGCTCACTGGAAAACTTCAACACACTGCAGGTGTAATGTAAATTACCGCGGAACTTAGATCGGGGGGAGGGAAAGTCAAGTCTGGGTTGTCGAGAACAGATTGTCGTATACCTTTCTGACTTTACCTAATCTCAGCGCACATTATTTCTTATAAAGGACGATTTTTTTGTCATTTCTCATTCTATCATCTGATGGTCCGAAAGCGCTTAAGAGTTAAACAGGAAATAAACCATCCAGGTGTAAAAATGACAGTGTCAAAAGTCAGGAATTTTGTTGGCTTACCCTCCTTTCCGAGATGGTCCTTGACCGTACCGCGCCCTACCCACGGGTCTCCTGCAGAATAACATTTGTCACATTGGATTAAACTACTCTTTCCTCATACACGCTGGGTATAAGGTAATTTTTCAAGTATTTTATCGATTACCACCATTTCGAACAGCTTCCTTTTTTCAATCACCCTTGGGGGAAACGATCGAAAAGTAAGTAACACAACTGGAGTTCGAGATGTAATGGGGAGCTGTTCAGGTTAGTTAGCAACACAAGATGGGCTCGATAGAGGCGCCTCAAAGGTAAAGAACGGAGTTAAGAGCAAACATCACGATTGGTTTACGAAATTCGTACACTTTGCTCCACCAATAACTGCAAACCTCAACGCATGGGTTACCTACTTTGCGCGCGTTCTCCTGCTAGAGCCGAAACAGTAGTTTTGCTCGTACCTCTTGTCAGTTACACTGTTAACACTGATTGGCTCAATTTCCACTCACCTGTACTCGGCGTAACGATCCACGGATTTATTGAGGGTGCCATGCCGTTCACCGACTCTTGGAGAGCGAGGAGCCTGGGGTGAGGTGGTTCTAAAACAAGAGCACTTGTCGTTAATACAAAACAAAAGAGTTACCCTGGCCCATTTCCAGCTGTTAGACTGCGAGGAACGCCCAAAATAAGTACATTTAACAACAAACAAATTAAAATATATCAATAGGGCCCCATACGGTTTAAGGTTTTTGTGCAACTTTGTACTGTATAATTTTAAAATAGTTCTCCACATATTCTCCACCTATTCTTAGATATCAACTGAACGTCTTTTTTCCAAGTCTGTAGTTTGCAGTTATGTTTGACAAAAAATAACGATAAAATACAAAATTTCAAAATGACACAGAGTATTCAAAGAGTGCAATAACTAGCAGATGAGCTTTACAGTTTTCTTTCATAAAAACGTTTGCATTTCATGATTGCGGGAGTAGTAGGTTTACTCACCCAGTACTTTTCTTTTGAGTTCGAACCCTGGAACATAAAAAATAACAAACAGCATCAAAAGGTTAATGTCACGCATTCACTATTCATTGAAGAGTCCTGCTGGAATTGTGGTCATAGGAGCAATACGAAATAAATTATCTTTTTCTCAAGAAATATTTTCCGTCTTTTTTTATCATGGTTACACGAAGAAAATGATTTCAATATGAAAGCGCAAGTACGCCGGAGGGAAATGGTTTCCGACCAATAAGAACAAGCCTAGCCGGTTTGCGTATTTTGAAACATTTAGCCTAAATTTTTCAAGTTCGTCTTTTGTAATCCGAGTAAGTCTTCTCCATCCTTGACCATCTTTGTTCCTTCACGATGTATTATTTATTTTTTGGTGTTTTTTCATCGTAGTAAACTACTATTTTCAGGTTTTCTTCAATTTAAAGGTAATTCTGTACGCGGCCAAAATAACTCAAAATACCGTGGCTTGAGCTCCTTTAAGGAGTGAAATACAAATGTGCTTATTGACTGAGTGGAAGCTAGGCCGAAGGGAAAATATTTGAAAAGTAGCGTGATTGTTATAGTATTTATTTTTTGCGTGTGTGCGCGTCCATGTTCGGATGTGCGTTAGTTGCTAACTACATCGACCATTACTTTTATTTCTCATATCAGCCACCAAGCTAGATTAGCTTCTTATAGTTATTCTGGGTGGAATGTTGCTTGCAAAGGACGTCTGAATACGTTTAAAAGACAAATAAACGTGTGTTGTTATTGTTACCCAAGGTTTGTTACTCACTCTAATGAAGCCTTCCTTGAACCATTCGCTGTACTCCCGGATCCTTCACTAGAACTATTAAATTTCTCCACAGGAGTTAACTCCACGCCGGAATCTGAGGTCGTCCTGGTCTTCTCATCGATAATCATTCCATCTGAAGACGATCGCTTGTGTTTTGAAGTGGCAGGGCTACTGGCTGGCCGAGGGAACACTTTAGAAAGGCTCAGTGACCCTTTAGAATCTGGATCAACTGCTTGAGTAGATTCAGAGCCAGCATCCTGCAATAAATGCAACACCATGAACTGCCTTATTTGATTGCGTCTAACAGTCAGTGAGCACAGGAGGTGCCCAAGACATTTACTAGATGCCTCTTGTACAACCTTAAGTGCAGTATGTGGGGATGGGTACGTACATGTAAACCTGGTTTAGGGAGATTCATTTGACTGTCGAAAAGTACTTGGTTGTGCATCAACTACGCTTCACGATTGGCTTAAAAAAAACTCGCGCCACTTTTTCATCCAATTAGAAGTAAAACCAAAAACAATCCACCGTAGGAAAAAAGATGGCGACTGTACATTTTGCCACAATGGCTTGTGAACCTAAAGCAGCCTATAAGGCACAAAGAAAGCCAAATTTTTACAATATTTTTCCCTGTGCTGAGGACATTAAGTAGCCTAGGTTTGAAGATCTTATAACGTTTCTGTACGTTTCTATGAACGTTGTTAAGGTTTTTGTGCGCTAAGAATTATGGGTAAATGTACCACTCGCCGTCTTTTTTCCTATGGAGGATTGTGATTCGTTCGTACTCGTTTTCCCGCGCTTTACGTCAGCTACATGTAATTAGTTCGAGTTTTGATTGGTTCACTTTATTGTCTGTGTCCTTTGTGATTTGCTAGAGTGATAACTTTAGTTTTGGTTTTACGACACTCAATTGAAAACCGCTCTATGCATCTTAAGAACAGAACAAAATCTGCAATCATGTACCTTATTCTTGATATTGTCCAACTCTGGCTCAGATTTAACCGAAACAGAACTCGACTGCACGCTCAAAGGAACATCCTTGTCCACAGTGGTATTGATAGCAACACCACCAACAATTCTGGTCTCTGAATGCGACTTCCGACTTTGCTTAAATCGCTCCACTTTTGCCGCGAGCTTTGCTGCAGCACTCTTGGAGTTCCTGTCGCTATCTGATGCATTCTCTGCTGTAGACGCGACAGTCAGTTTGGATTTCTCTCTGTCTTGACCTGTTGCCATCAAAAGAAATGTTTTCGTAAGGTGTGTAAGGGCCAATTTCCAATTCCCTCGGTTTCAATAGGCAAGATTCACTCTAGTTTACTGACTTTAATTCGACTAACACTCCAATAAGACGCTCCTGTTTGCTTGTACATAATTCCATCAATCGTCCGCGTCTTTATCCGTCTTATCCGTCGTTACTTCGAGTGAATCGCATACACAACTACAACGTTTTGCCGACGTTCGCCAAAACATGCACACTCGAAAAGATCACGTGACTAAACGCGGGAACTAAACGGCGGGAAAAATACATGAACAATACAGGGAACCCAGCGACAAGGTGATGCCTCTTCGGACCCTCTACTATCTTTACTGGCCCCTTAACTGTATTCCTCTGTTAGACCCGTAGTTGTGTACCGATACTATTGGCTCCTAACTCTATACGTCTGTTCGTTCATCACTTTGGGGAGATGAACAAAGAGTTAACAGGACATAAATGTTTGCTCAATGTTGCCGAAGTCTGGCCGCTTTGCGAATGGCTCAATATACTTTATTTAATACTTTGCTCGTTCTAACAAAATCTGAGAGCCTACACTGAGCTCCGTATAAGATACAAACACTGTATTTCAGTTGTTTATACCGAATCTTGACCCCTGGCGTGTTACTTTGTTGTGACGATGACGCTTCACTATAGGTAATGATCCGAAGGGAAATGCCAGCTTGGCCCTCGGTTCCTGGAGGATTCAACCATGCCGTATTCAGGAGGGAGGGCCTGGCAAATGATACCCCTTGCCCCTCCAGGGTTGGAAGCGGGGTTGGGCTAATCAGTTTATCCAGCCAAAAATTATTTGATTACAAAAGCTGCTAAAGAGGGCCATACGCGAAATACGCGTGAAGAGCGGCAGCACCTTACCAGTGTCTGTCTCTTCAGTTTCGCTGTCAGCTTCTTCGCTGTCGCTATCATCCTCTGAATCGTCTTGTCCTTGACCTCCAGGTATGATTCCTTCTTTGAGTTCATTCTTGAGCCACGTCGGGGCCTAAAAAACACAAAGCCACGTACACACTTGAAAATACCAACACTATGGCGATGCACTTTTCCCTCTCGTGAACGGTCGAAGTCATAATTGGTAACCAAGCTGGCCTGAACTAGGTCGAAACTGGTTACAAGTTGGTGATAGACTAATACGCACTCTCCATATGCTTAATTGCTCACTTTCATACTGGCTTGCTTGCGGTTAGCTTTTATTTGTTGGTTAGGGCAATACCATAAGTAAAATAGACTAAGAAAGTAGTAATTTTCCCGGGATTTGGCGGATTAACCTGGTGGTATAGTGGTAAGAGAGGGATTTCAGCATGTGAAAAGTTCTGAGTTCGATACTTTCTGGTGACTTACAACTTTTCTTTTTCTTTAAAATACTAAAACAAATCATTGATAGTGTGAACATTTCTAAGTGTCGCGAAAATGGCCACGACGGTTCACGTGCGAAAGTTGGAGGTCAACCGGAAGTGAGAGTCTGAGGACCTTTCTTTTTTTGTTTTTGTTTTTGTTTTTGTTTTGGTTTTGGTTTTTGAATTAGTGTTGAATACTACTACTTCTAACCTCTCCTAACGTGGTGTCCATCTCCGAAGAGCTTGATCCCATTGAGGAATCGAGGCCTGTAGGCCCTCTGGTGTTACCAAAGGAACTGTAAAAGCAACATGCAGAGTTGAATCAGAAACCATTGACAAGGAATAATTCAATCGCCTACATTAGAAGAGATGGGATTCATCTCTCTTGGAGGGGCAAGTGAGTGGGACTCAAAGTAACAAAAAATTAATGGTATAACAGTGAGAGAGAACAGGGAACTGCCATGGTAATCATTCACTGCAGTTTAGCCTGGAGAGTAAAATGCAGAGAGTGGACGGTCGCTTCTTCGTTACGGAAATTTTGACCTGAAGTAGTCACGTTTTACGAGAAGGTAGCATACATCTAAATGTGCAAGAGGATGAATCTAAATAGCTCCGACAAGCGCCCAAATCTTATTGTTCACCACCGCAGATCATTCTACACTGAGTAGAAGATTCCCGTACGAATTACGTGCTCTCTTTACGACCAACACGTGAGCAACAAGGCTTAGTGGATGTACTCCACCTTTAACTGCTTATAAAACGTCTTCTATTCCTGCGTGAAATGTACTCATTTTTATAATCATCCACGTGCAAATAACTTAACTGAAACCTACCCATCAAAAACCGTAGTCTGTTTGGACAATCTTCTCTCGCTAGCTTTTTTCTGCGAACGTTTTTTCGACCTCCGTCTTGTGGGAAGCGGAGCCGTGGTTTCTATCTGGACAAACACGTTGACGCCAAAACCATTGATATCCAGCAAGTAAACAGGAAATTCGTGTTCCTGATCTTTCCCATACATGGTGTAAGTGTCCCAGTGAAACAAGCGCGTGGGTGAAGGCATCGTTTCGTTCTCACTGATTCGTAGGAACCCTGCAGCAAACGTTTGATCGTTCATTTGTCCTCGGCGGGAGCTGTTTCTGATGTAGTTAACTGAAGGGTCTTCTTTTGATGCACAGTCGCTTCGTTCGGCGTCAGAAAAGACACTGAAATACGGAGAAAAGTGACCTGTGAACGTCGCAGTGATGCGCTGCCTAAATACTTACTTTGGACGTAGCCATTTTATTCCTGAAAGTTTAAGAAAACAGTTCATTTCTCGCAATAGAGAGTAAAACCAAAGTGTAATTTCCGGGTGAGTCAGTTAATTGAGTGCAACTTCAAAACGTTGAAATAAGCAATTCAGAACTCGGGGAGAGGATGCAATTAGTGAGAAGGGCAAAAAAATTGAAACGACGGAAAATCACAGAAACATTCGTTTCAACGTAACTTTCACTTGTCCAACAATCGTTCCACTAAAACTCTCAGGGATAAAAATGTTCAATCAGTCTTCAAAAGCGTATCAAACAATATAAGTCTTTCAAACGTGGAATAGAGCTCACATAGTTCTCTATCGACATCGTTCTGCAATATCTCCGTAAGGGAACGAGAACCTTTGTGTTCAACTTACCCATCCATAGATTTAGGAATCAAACTAGTACTGCTACCCATGACGTCTGGCTGTGCGACACCCTCCTGTACCCCCTCCTTCCTCTTCTTGTAAGACTGTGGCATGGAGAATCCCTCCTGCATTCCCTCTTTCCTGCCTCGCTCAAGTCTTGTGGAGCTCGAGCATTCTAGCACGCCCTCTCTGCGTTTCTTGGCGTCTTTTGGAAGAGACGACTGGCTTCCGGAGTTATGATCGCTTTTGCTCCTGAAGACATGGGGAAGTTTACATGTTAGCCTTTTAACTCCTCGCTGGAAATGGCAACTGGCCTTTCTAATGCATGTAGCAAGTATAGTCGAACCTCCACTAAAGGCCACCTCTCTACAACGCCAACGCCAACATCTCTACAACGGCCACTATTGCTCTGTCCCCAAGGTGGCCGTAGTAGAGAGGTTCCACTGTATGTTCCCGTTATAGAAGTGACCCCAAAGTATACGTTCGAATGTACAGGTCAGAGATGTCTACCATCATTAACTTTCCTGCTGAATTAGTGGCAACTTTCAGTATAACAGGACACCTACAATTCTTGTTTCTAGCGACAAATAAACAAACCGAATTTATAATCTTCATGTCTTACTCGACCTTTTTGCTGGCCAATAGCTTGTAGAAAGAACTTGCTCGATTGTTTTTCAGCAGCTTTTGCTGTGCAGAAATATTTTTTGGAAAGTGGAAATAAAGGTGCGTCCCTTACCACACAGTGATGTATTCTTACCCAGGAGATAACTCTAAACTGTCAGCACTGCCGATACTCATGCTCCCGCTGGGATTTCTCTTATGTCTCCGGTTGTTTCCTTCAGTATCGGTCTTGTCTCCACTCTCGCTTTGTGTCCGCTTATTTTCCGTGGGTCTTGTCCCCCAGAAATACAAGTCATTATCATTTGTCCCAGCCAAGGTGAAGCCATTGCCGCAGAAAATCATCTGCGTAGAGAAATAAAGATTCAGGATTCAGTCAGGGAAATATGAAAAACTTTACGATGAACTTCAACTTGCAAAAAATCAATCTCTATTCACATAGTCTATCTACACTTCATACGACCGAGCGAATGAACGATAGAACGAACGAACAAACGAACGAACGAAAGTTAGTACGAACTTGCGAACATGCAAACATGCGAACAGACGAACATGCGAACAAACGAATATACGAACATACGAACATGCGAACTAACGAACATACAAACATACGAACATACGAACATAACAACGAGCGAACTATTAAACGACAAAAATCTGAAAAGTTTTACGATGAACTTCGACCTGTGAATATGTCTTGCCTCATAGTCCATATGCACTTCGTACGAACGAACGAACGAACGAAAGTACGAACATACCAACATACCAACCTACCAACATGCGAACAGCGAGCGAACATGCGAACATGCGAACAACGGAACAAACGAACTTACGAACACACGAACATACGAAGGTACAAATATAACGAGCGAACTAGCTACAAAAAAGCCTTTCAGAGAATAGTGTAAAAAGCTTTCTTAGGTAGAATCTCTGTGTAACAGAACCCCGACCCCATCCTCATATATGCCTGTCGTGATCTGAATTTGAGACCATTCATCTAACATTTTACCGAAGTGGTCTTTTCTTCTAACGCCTTGACAATAGCAGGTACATCACGTGGTTTACAGTTGTTGCATGCCAGCTGTCCATACTGATTGCAGCCAAACGTGTACACCAGGCCTGGTTCAACAAGAGCTGCACTGTGAGCTGGTCCCAGGGACACATCAAGTACACGGTGTTTAGACAATACTTTCACAGCTGTTGGTACATTCTTCCCGTCTACCTGGACCTTGGTAAAACACAAAACAACGCCTCAACAAAATGGTGTCATTAAGGGATTTTCGAGTAGTCTAACAAGAAGTTGGTGGTCAAGGCTTTGCAAATTGAGCTCAAAGGATTTAAATTGTGTTAGAAAGTACGGTACTATTGCTTACAAAGAAGAAGTAACGTTCTAAATTATTTCTGTTATTATTTCAATTTACCAGCTGTCAGCAAACAACTATTGTGTCAATGGCCAAAACATGAACTATCACTATGGTGTGCATTTTACTAGTACTGAAATATTTATGAAGTTCACCGCTATTAATAATCCACACTACTAATCTACAAAGCAGAGGTGAAACAAAAGAAAATTGGTGGTGGGGAGAATGCGTTGGTAACGTTTGCTCAACAACAACAAGTTATGGTATTATTGGTCATTACTGACATCAATAAGGCCAGTGCTGTACCTTATTCAACAAGTTCTTCATTTGCATTAGAAATCCCTGACGGTTATTCAGTCCCAGCTTGTTGTTTGCATTGCTGTTTCAGAGGACGAAAACAGAAACAAACATTAACCCGTGCAGTTCGTCAACCTGATTCGGAACTCTTTTGAGGAATTGTCTTGCAGAGTGGTTCATGAAGGACAGTTGAACTTGAGTATAGATGATGTCAATTTTGGTCAAAGATGATGAAGTCAGAAGTGGAACAAAGCCCAACGCTCGCCACGGCCGGTTACGGGTGGCACGGGAGTCAATGGGTTAAGTGAGTATGCAAATTGAAAAAGAAAAAAAAAGGTCACAGCTACAAACCTTCCGCAAGCCAACAGAGCGCCTGTATCAGTGAGGAACATTGTACCATCATAACCACACCTGACTTGTTTTATGGACACTGTATCATCTATAGCTGTTACCTCAGTGGGAAGACACCTGTAGAGAAATAAACAAGAAACAGTTAAACTCAACAGTGAGCTGCCTTTAGCTATGTCAATGGGATCTCATTAAAGCTCTATATGATTTTAGGTTTCTTTGCCATTCAGGACCTTTCAATCAAACTTTTCTCATTTAGAACTTGTACTTTTGATTATCACTTCTCGCACCAATCTCTTACCAATTGATAGTCTCCTATTCAACTGGTCAGTATCAGGAAGGGTAAGTGCTCAAGTCAAACTCATACCCAATCTCCTTCATGTTCTTACACCTCGATCTGAAGGTTCTACTTTTATCCAGTATCACATGTCAGCAATGCGTGCAAACAGCAAATAAAATAAATTAAAATAAATAAATAAATAAACAAATAACAATATCTAGAGAGAAAGCCACATCAGCCTTAGCTGATTTTCATGCGGGTTCTCTATCCTGGTCGAAATGGAATTTGGAGATGTTGGTTTTTGTGGAGGGAGGGAAACTGGATAACCTGGAGAAAACCCTTGGACCAAGGCGAGAACCAACAACAAACTCAACCCACATATGGCACCGGGCCAGAATCAAACTCAGGCCACATTGGTGGAGGGCGAGTGCTCTCACCACTCCACCATCCCTGTTCCCCTACTAGAGCCACACAGTCCATGGCAATCATTATAAGCCTGTAATAATGAACACAACTGAAAAGATGTTAGTTTCTATGAGGCATTTCATGTAAGATATTTCACTTACTGATTATCTTCATCTCCTAATCCTAGTCTGCCATCATCTCCACAGCCCCACGAGAACACCACACCATCACTCGTCACGACTGCCACATGGGAATTGCCACAGCTGACAGATGTCACATCAAAACTCAACAGCGCTTCAATCAACTTTGGCTTTGATGAATTCAACCAGTCACCATGACCCAGACAACCAAGTTCACCCAGACCACAAGTCATCACAATGCCATTGTCAGTGACAAAAACAGTGAATTGGCCTCCACAGCACACTCTATAGAAGAAAATAAAATACTGTTTTAATTATAAGTTGGAATCCAAACAATTACCCAGTGTGCTTAATTGTGCTAAATGGATGGTTTTACAGTTCAGCCCATCATGAATTGATCAAAAAAAATCACATATATATTGTTTTTAGAAACTTTGATTTCTGCTCTATGATCTCTACATAATGAACTCCAAGGTTCTACTGCTGTATGACCATGCTTGCAATNTTACTTACTTACTTACTTACCTCTCTGAGTTGTCCCTTTGCAGGAATCTCAATAGGGCACATGTTGGTATACAGCAAGTCTAGGTAATACAGAAGTGTTCTGAAACAATGTAAAACACAATAAGAACATGAAACAATGTACAACACAACAAGAATATATCATTAGTATAATGAAATTGTGTCTAAGGCAATGCAATATAAGGTAATTTAGTTGACACTAAAAGATTAGCACTTGATTTTCATAATAATGAGCATTCAAAAATACACCAAATAAAAGACTCATTTGTGACTAGTTGTTAAACAAGTGCAGCTTTCATATTAACAACAGTTTAACAAAAGCCCTCTGAGCGGACATGTGGTTACTGGATAGTGAATGACATACATGCAATGGTGCAAAAAAAGAGTTGTAGACTTCTAGTTTTAATGCAAAGTACTGTTTAAAATTTGACTGCTCAACATATAATGTTCTCTGCACCATTGTGAAGAATTGGGATAAAGTTGGTCCAAACGTGTCCCATCAATGGAATTTAAAACTCATTACTGATGAACAGACTGATACACCCAAAACATTTTCAGCACTCGCACTGTGGAAAAAAAAAACATCATTAAGCCCCGGCCAAACGATCGCAACATGTCAACACAACATATTGCAACGTTGTTGGGCACAATGATGTTGCGTGCGTTTGGCCACCCTATTGGGATGTGTTGCAACATGTTTGGTGTTGTTGGCTCAAATTTGAAACTGTTCAAATTTTTCACGCAACAGTTATGGATGTTGCATTATATTGCACGCGTTTGGCCAGGTTTGTGCAACAATGTTGCACCAGGACATGCACACTAGTTTGATTTGCAACACCCAACATGTCGCAGCACATCGCAACAGGGCGGCCAAACGCACACATGTTGCCCTCGACAATGTTGCGATATGTCGTGTCAAAATGTCACGATCATTTGGCTGGGGCTTGCAAATACTGAGCCAACAATGCTGTGATATCTTGCGTTGAAATGTTGCGATTGTTTGGCTGGGGCGATTCGGTATTGCAAACCAAACTAGTGCCCATACCCTGGCGCAACATTGTTGCATGAACCTGGCCAAACGCATACAATGTCATGCAACATCCATAAAAATTAATGTTGCGTGAAAAATTTGAACAGCTTCAAATTTGAGCCAACAACACCAAACATGTCACAACACATCACAATAGGGTGGCCAAACGCACGCAACATGTTGGGCCCAACAATGTTGCAATATGTTGCGTTGAAATGTTGCGATCGTTTGGCNTCAATGGAATTTAAAACTCATTACTGAAGAACAGACTGATACACCCAAAACATTTTCAGCACTCGCACTGCGAAAAAAAAAAAAACATCATTAAGCCCCGGCCAAACGATCGCAATATGTCAACAAAACATATTGCAACATTGTTGGGCACAATGATGTTACGCACGTTTGGCCACCCTATTGTGATGTGTTGCAACATGTTTGGTGTTGTTGGCTAAAATTTGAAACTGTTCAAATTTTTCATGCAAAAGTTATGGATGTTGCATTATATTGCACGCATTTGGCCAGGTTTGTGCAACAATGTTACACCAGGACATGCGCACTAGTTCGATTTGCAACACCCAACATGTCGCAGCACATTGCAACAGGGCAGCCAAACGCACACATGTTGCCCTCAACAATGTTGCGATATGTCGCGTCAAAATGTCGTGATCATTTGGCTGGGACTTGCAAATACTGGGCCAACAATGTTGTGATATCTTGCGTTGAAATGTTGCGATCGTTTGGCTGGGGCTGTTCGGTATTGCAAACCGAACTAGTGCCCATGCCCTGGCGCAACATTGTTGCACGAACCTGGCCAAACGCATACAATGTCATGCAACATCCATAAAAATTAATGTTGCATGAAAAATTTGAACAGCTTCAAATTTGAGCCAACAACACCAAACATGTCGCAACACATCACAATAGGGTGGCCAAACGCACGCAACATGTTGGGCCCAACAATGTTGCAATATGTTGCGTTGAAATGTTGCGATCGTTTGGCTGGGGTTTTACAGGTGTACCTTCTTCTTATCTTACGGCTTTGATCAATGGAGCTTCCAAGTTCATCTTCACTTGTGTCTTCAAATCTTTTCATGAGCTAAAGAAAAGTATTAGCAAAAGAAATCACACCATGGACAGAGATCAAGTTCTAACATTTCCCAGAGAAACAGGGGCTAGCCAGGATTTTTCATAAGGGGGGGTCACACTGTGTCATAGTGAGGGTACTCACCAGATTGTCATGTCATTTTTGCCACCAGTTGTAGGTTGTTTACTCAAAAAAGGCTTACAAAAGGGGGGTCATGGGCACCCCAGGACCCTCCTAGCTATGCCCCCAAGAAAAGTAAACTATTGATAAGGATTGAATGGATGTACACCATATATATGTAGGCTGACAAAACACTAAATTCCCAGTACACTAATAATATCAAAACATGTTTGAATTAATTTGGTAATTAGAAATTACAAATCTTTAGATCTTATGAATGACATAGGTATAATGAATACCTTTGGAAGTCTCTCATTCAACAAATTTTCTACATCTGGTCTCATATCTGGTTCTTTCTGAAGTATGTCTGCCACCTGAAAGACATACATTAGACAGCTTTCAATTTTCAATATGATGAATGTTGACACAGTGTAGGATGCTTTTTGAGGAGCAGCATGAGAACAACCAAAGTTTGAATGCATAGACAAGCTAAATAAGCCAAATACTTGGAAATGTCGGTAATAATGGAAATTTCAGAAATAAAAATACTATCAGAAAATTGCCAGAACTCACCAGAGATCTAAATTCTGGACTGTAATTTCCTCGTATGGGAGCAAATTGACCCTGCAAATAGAAGAAACTTAATGTTCAATTCGAATTTTGCATACTAAGACCGATCCAGGGTCAGTGTTTTGAAAGCCAAACAAGTGTGTCCACAGTCCTCTTTTGTGACAGATTTTTGATAAAAAGTCATTTTAACTGTGTGGTAATTACACCATAATAATCATTTATGACTGGCCCAAAGGGAAGCAGTGAGCTTTGTTTCCCTGAGACCCTTAATGTTCCTCTCAGCTTCCCCTCATTATTATATTCCTTTATTCACTCTTGTACTTTACAAACAAAGGAACACTGAGGCCTGAGGGGAATCAAAACTCACTGTTTCCTGGGACTGGTTATTCACTGTTTTCTTATGCCTCCTGACTCAGAAGTACATGTAGAATAAACTGTGCAAAAAAGCTTGCTTGGCGCCAACTGGTACACAATTTTGCTGCAGCTTCAAGGCACACAACCTGATCACCTGTGAGTTGAAAGTTCAAGTTGTTGTTTCCCTAGAGAGTTTGTTTTTAACAATGACACATGTTCTCTTCCCATCAGAAAATGTACTACCTTGTATTTAAGTTGGGAGGTATAACAAAGACATTTTTAAACATCTGTATGCTCCTCCCAATAACCTGCCTGTGTTGGAGAAAAAGAAATGTCAATAATGGATTATTTGACTGGCAATGTTGCCATTGATTGACTTCTTGGTTACTTGTACTGATTTTGACTGTGGTATCAACAAATTCCTTCTGCATCTATCTGATGCTTACCTTCATGATTTTGTTAACCAATGCTGGGAGGTTGGAGCCTTCAAAGGTTTTTTGTCTACTGGCCATTTCATACAATATGCAGCCAAGAGCCCAGATGTCACTCTTGTGATTGTACTCTTTACCCTCACACTGAAAATTAAAACATATTACAGTAACTAAATCATTACCATTTAATATAAAAGCAATATTTGTAACTTTCTGTGGAGCTCACCTTTCCTCCCTGCAAAAGAGTGAAGGGATAGTGTTGCTATGGTGATGGGGTAACCCTGGTGAAATGGTCCATGCATGTATGTGTAGGTCATTAGGGGGAGCTCCGAGTTTATTTTAACAACAACATTTCAAGTATGATGCACTAAATGAGACATACACAATCAAAGTACAAGAGACTACCAACGATTTAAGGGTTTGTTGCATTGATGAGTTCTGCCTTAGCAAGTCAGTTACCAATGAAAAGAGACAAAAGGACAGTCATCTCCCAACCTTGGAGAGTCGATAATTTCCAATAACTTTTTCACATTCTATTAGACAGAAGGGAACGTAGTTGACAGCCAACAGCTGACATTTATGGTAGTGTACACTGTAAGTGCTCTACATCATTTTGTAACCTCCCTTTCACAGAGAGCAATTATGCAACTCTCCTACGCAGGTCTCAAGGGTCTCTACCAGTTGTTGGTTGAACTATACATAGTATGATTTGACTAAGCACCCAGCATAGCAAATGAAGTAATGAAATGTACCATTTCTGGTGAAATATAGTACGGCGTTCCAAGGACAGTATTGGCCTTGGAGCCCTCAAGCTGTTTACTGATACCAAAGTCACCAAGCTTGACGACGCCTTCCTTGGTTAGAAAAATGTTGGCTGTCTTCAAATCCCTGAAAGGATCAAAATTATGACAACTGTCTGTTACAATGTACGGCAGTACGCATACTGTATGTGAAATACAGGTTACATCAACGTGTCAGCTCGACAAGGGTTTTTTTTAAGCAGCGCAATTTGTTCAAAGTCAATGCACCTGTGCAAGATGTTGTTCACGTGAATATATTTCAAAGCAGAGAGCATCTGTTGGAAGATTATTAGGATCTCTCTTTCTTCCATGTCCTTCTCCAGTCTTGACAAGTATTGAGCAAGAGTCCTGCAATCACAATATAACATTGCTGTTGATCAAGTATCCATTTTGCTGACTGGGATCAATTTTTTTTTTAACAGAGAAAAAAGGTCAAACAAATTTCGCTCTTTTCCAGACTTCAAAAGCTTTAAATAAACAGACCCTGTTAACTGGACATATTTAGTATTTTCACAAAGACTAATACATGTTAAAAGATAAATTTAGCTTGAAAGCATTTTTAAAATGGCAGCTTTGATAGTACTTATCTGGTGAGTAGAGGACAATAATATTTATTGACTGAGACACACCTTTACTAATCATATCACTTTGATCAGTACATCAGTGTGTCTTAAAATAAATAAATGATGTACAGCTGTAGATTTAGCTAGCGTAGATTTACAAATTTGTCAGCCCAGCAACAGTGTTAAAATTCTCAAGTACATGTAGGTTCTACATACAGGCAGCTTCTATTTTAACATAAACATACTCAGGCAGCTGTGGTGTGTGTACATCCCACTGAATTTGAAGTTTTTGTTCTTCTGGACAAAGACTGCTTTCTTCGTAAACTTTTTTTGTTGTTTGTTTTCACTAAGATTCAGTGCCTGTATGAGTAGTGCAGTGCACAAATGCATAATACTCACCCTCCATCAGCATACTCCATTTCAATCATCAGTGTGCCGTCAACTTCAAAACTGTCATAGTAGCTGATGATGTTGGGATGCAGACTAAGCTTGGACAGCACTTTGGCCTGTGAAATAACGAATCATTGAGTTTCTTATAAGATTATTAAAAAACAAAGTAAACAACTATGCTATACATTATGTACACTGAAAATTACTGACTTTGCCCTAGCTACAAACACTACAATGGACTAGAGAAAGATGTGAGAACTAGACAGCATGTCTGTAAGCTTGACAAACCTCGTTCATTGCCATCTGTCTTTCAGTTGCAGTCAGGTCATGAAGAGAAATTTCTTTCAGGATGACAAGTGAGTCATCATCCTTTTTTCTATACAGAACAGCTGCTCCATATGCCCCTGAAACATTAACAGTGTGGATAATAACTAATAAAAATTAACAACCAGTAGTCATGCAACCAATCTTCCTTACTTCTAAAACCAAAAAATTTCAGTTAAAACAAATCTTCTCAACACACCTTACCATTGTAAGGTGCAATCATTTAGCACCAAAAGATTCTCTTAAGTCTTTCTTGTTGCCTTGCAAACAAGATAATTTACTTTTAATGAAGGAAGAAACTACTCTGACTTACCTTTTCCTACAGTCCTGATCTTTTCAAAGTTGCTAATGTCCTGCTGCTGAACACCAGACCAGCCTCGCATCTTTTCTTGCTTGAAGTAAAGCTCTCCAGGATGTAAACTGCAACAAAAAACACTTACTCATAAACATTTCTGCAAACTGGATTTATGTTCTTCAGTTTCTGTATAGGCACAGGCTATAATCGGCAGGTGTGCTGGTCCAAGTGCAATAATCTCTCTAATATCCCCTTTGCTCCCCCATGTACAGTGTTCCAGTTAATTTTTTTTGGCAAGAAAGCAACTAAGATTCTCTTTTTAATAACCTGTTCTTGCACTAGAAACAGTGTTTGAAGAAAGCAAAATCGCAAATGGCTAAGTCAAGGATCCATATTGCAAATCGCATACCTAAGTCAGTCTTGCTAGACGACTCTAACCATTTGGAGGACTTCCGTCTCAAAATCATGTGGAATAGAGTGGTAACATCACAAATATCGGTTAATAATTCAGGTTCTTAACAGGTCACACAAAACCTTCAGGTCACCAGTCATGAAGAATGATCTCCTAAATTCATGTTTCACAGAAAATAAAATCAGCAAATCACGCATCACGAGAATAACCCCGGTATGACCCTCTGTGCATATATATTGACATCATTATGATCTGTGTTATTAATTGAAAGTCTGAGATAATGGTTGTTTGTATGTGTTTGCTTGATTAGAAGAAACTGTCCGCATGATGAAGACATCCTTTTAGAATGTACATGGTTGCCACAGGCATCACTTTTCAAAATTCCCTGACTTTTCCCTGATAAAAATAAGATTTTCCTGACCACATAAATACAAAATGTCCGATTTACTAGTGGCTTTTGCCTCAACTTACAGCTGTCCTTTCTACTCATTTGTTAAGACTAATAGATTTTCAACACATGTTCCTTCTTCATATATTAAAGAAAAATATCGCTGAGATAACAGTGACACTAAATGTTTCTTCCAGCCTTCAATGGTATTAAATCAGCCATGCTAAATTACATCAATGC